GTCGTCCTCCTCGTCGATTCTCGAACTACACGGTGTGTGTGGGAGCGAAGGCAATGAACGGGCTGCTGAAAGGCTGGAATAGAACGGGTTTTCGTTTGGGTATAGCCCGTTCTTGAGTCGGTTTGTTGAGGATACGCATTGGTCTCTCCGAAGGGAGACTGCTTATGGGCGAATGAAGACCGCCAGTTAGAGAAATATAGCAGCACCAGCTGTGTTGATGCAACATCACCACCAAAAGCTATGTTGAAGGTCTAGAGAAGAAATCTGGGAATGATGTTGAGCATAATATAGCTCAGCCGACGAAAACTGCCGCCCATTTTCGCGGTTCAGAACGGACAACCCCCCTCCTCGGGGTCGACGACCCCACGACGACCTCCGCGTGGAAAGCCCAGGCTATCTGGCTGGGCCAGGTGCTGGTGAGCCCTCGGGATGGTCGACCACCTGTCGACCTAGAGTTCCGCTGAGACAATCCCGAGAAGGACGTCTCAGCCGCGTGTCAGAATACCAGCTCGGCAAGTTGGGCCGCGATGATCGCCACGCGGCCACAAAGGGACGCCCGAGATAGTCCCCTGGATGGCGGGGCCACCTAGGTCTGCCAGGTTGGACACGACGGGCCAACGGAAGGTCGGGGTGCTTCGCTTGGGAGAATCTCGCGCATGAACGTGGCAATGTCGGTGCATACCACACGGCATTCATCCAACGGTTGCTCACATGCGCAAGGAGAAATCCGGCCGTCCACTATCTATGGCTACGTGCAGTGGACACTGATGATGCGGGACCTGTCGGCGTCGACCAGAAGAGCATCATCGTGGTGCCACACGGCAGTGTCTCCCGACCTCGACCTACTGAGGTGCACCTAATTCGGGACCACGCCACGTTGCCGCACGAAAGAGCCAGCGTGTAGCAGCCACGAAAAGAGCATGATGAGCGAAGCGCTTCAAGCAAGCAGCCATGCACGCCTGGTGGCACGTCGGACACGGCGCCGCCGCACGAGCGTACATGCATGGCGGCGTCGTGCACTGGGGTTTGCGTGGAGCGCCAAGTGGTGCGGAGTCGCTCACGACCATCCCCATCCGTGGTCCCCGAAATGGTCGCTCATTCCGCCTGCCATTGTGTGTGCCATTGCTTTTTTTTTTTACCACTGACTTGACGGCCGGCACTTTGATTTTCTCTAGAGGCGTAACGTCGGCGTCGTGATAGTAGGCAGACGTGGTCGCCGACCTCTCGTAGGATTGTCTGCTGTCCCGACCTGCCAGATACCGCCGACATAGAATACGCATTAAGTAGTTTATCGACCTCACCACGCCGACTTCCTATCGCCCTAGGTCGCGGTATCATGGCCAAAGGACAGCCTCGTTCGACACCGCCGCAAACCAACCCACCCCCCGCCGATGTCGACATGACGGACGTCATGAACCCCGCTAGCCAGGGTGAGGACGTCCGCCCGGTAGACCGTACACCGACCAGTAACCCCTCGTCGACTTTGCCGCTGCTTTACGATCTCGACGCCCCGGCCCAAATCCCGCAGGGAGAGTTCACCAAGGACGTTCCGCCCGCGCCGATAGGGGAGTTCACGAAACCACGCAAAACGTCGACGCCGACGGATGCAGGGGAGGCCGGGCCGTCGTCTGTGCCGGACGGATCGGGCGACCAGGATGAGGACGATTATTCATCGGCGAGCGACGAGGACGACGAAGACGACCCGCGGCCCCGACGTGGTGCAGGTCCGCGCACGTTGGAAGAAAAACTCAGGGGGGAACGTGCGTTCATAGAGGAACTGTTGGACGAGAACGAGCTTGAGGATCTGCTGCACACGTCGGTCCCTCGAGAAATGTGGAAGGCGGCCGACTTCGTAGAGGAAGATATGGTGTACGCGTGCGTCGACGTGCTCGTGATGGAGGGAATGCGCCACCTGAAAACCATAGAGGCCAAGAGCACGCTCAAGTCCTACACCTCATGGATATACGACTACAAAAGGTGGACGGCGAAGATGCTTAAAAAAATTGGCGACAAACTGCCGACAGCAGAACAAATGAGGCACGTCGACGAGATAGGGCACTGGACACACAACAACAAGAGCAAGGATTGGGACAACGAGAAGGTGGTCAAGCGGAAGCACATATGGCTGCACGGCCCCCGGGTCACTAGTACGCGACTGCGCGCCTACATCAAGTTCATGAGGCGGGAGTACAGGATCGACGCCGACACGAACGAGCCAGTGCGAGCCTATACGGTGCACATGATCCTCGGCCGCATCAAGGCCTGCCAGATGGCGGCGAGGGTGGAGGCGACGCTCTTCAAGGAGAAGGAGTTGGGCATCATGCGGGAAATCTCGGTGGTCCGGTCGGAGGTGCGGGTCATGGTCCGCACGAAAAATCAGAGGGACCTCGAGTAAGTTGGCATGCATCGTCGTGTTATGTCGCCATCGATTTGTTTCCTCGCCCTAATATTCATATTCATATATTGTTATGTCGACAGTAAATGCGCCGACCGTCGACGCAGCACCATCGGCGACACATACACCGCCGAACAGTTCCGCCAGATAATGACGAGGGTGCTGCCGGCTTGGGCGGCGTCGGCATGGAGCCCGCATTTCACCACACCTTCGCAGACGCTGTGGAGGTTTCTTCTCATCAAGGTGCTCACGCTGCTCTCCCACCACAGCCTCATGCGCGGTGCAAGCATACGCGAGATAACGCTCCCCGACATCTTCCTGTACCGACTGGCGAGCACCTCGTCGGTGAACCCGGATAACCAGCCGGTCGTCATGGTGGTCGCCGCGCGGAACTCGAAGACGTCGAAGGATGCGCGTCTTCAACAGAGCTACGCGGCGCGGCACCTAGAAGCGGAGTTGTGCGCCGTCGGCGAGACCGGGCTGTGGTTACACTTCGTCCTCGACCAGATCGGCCAGTTTCACGGAGTCGACCTCATTCCGCCGGTCGACACCAGCACACGCGAGCTCTGGTACAAGAAGCACCTGTTCTTCGCCCGCAACGACCCCGAGCAGGGCGAACTCTCAGCTCCCAGCCACCAGCGATGGACGAGGCAGATGTGGAAGACGAATGGGGTGTTCTGCAAGCGGAACGTCCATGCCGCTCGGGCGGGCGGGGCGCAGGAGTTGGCCATCCAAGGTACGCCTCGCGCCGAGATAGCCGAGCTGGGTCACTGGGCTCTCGACAAGATGACTCGAGCCTACATCACGTCCATTCCCGTCGGCGTGGTGATGAAGAAGGCCGGCTATTCGGGATTCACGCAGGACTACTTCTTGGGTCGCAGTAGGGTGGAACCGGGAGACGAACTCCTCGCTCTCATCGCCGAGCACATCTTCCCCGACGTCGACGACCTCCTCAACAAGGTTTGTTTATCGGTGCCGACCAATCTTGCATGGTACTGTCCTATCCACCATGGAGATAACCCCCGTCTGATGTCTAACTGCAGGCAGAAGAACTCGCGAAGAAGGGGTCCGACGCCGACGTTGCGGCCGTGCATTTCTGGCGCACCCTTCTGATGTTCCGCCGCATTGTCGCCGAGGACCTCGCGGTGAAACTCGTCCGCACCCCTTGGCACCCGTACATCCAGTATTCCAAGCTCTGCCGGATTCCCCTCTTCCAGCACTGGGCGAAGAGGGTCGAGAAGACCGACACCGACACCATAAAAAAGCGGCAAGATCCAACCCTCATCCAGCCAGAGGTAGGTCATCTTTTATGCCGACGTCGCGATGTTATCTATGACCGCTACAACCCCTCATCTGCACCGTTATTCGCATACCATTGCAGGAGATATCGGTCCGCCATGACGCCCAGTTCGCGGTCGTCTCCCTCACGGAGACGCTTAAGCTCGAGAGGGAGCGGTCAACGGTCCAGAAGCTCGACCTCGAGGAGAAGATCGAGAATCGCGACGCAACCATCGCGTCGCTCGCGGGCGAGATAACACGCCTCACCGAGGCTCTCCGCGTTTCAGAAGCTCGAAGGATGCCGGAGGCGCCGCCAGCTGCTAACGACCAGTCGCCGAGCGACGGTGGCTCCGCGGAGTCGGCAAGCAGGGGTGGAGGAGCCAACAAACCCAATAAACCCCCACAGACGGTCAAGGAGGCTAGCTACGAGCTGAACGTAGTGCAGCCTTGGCGGACTGCAACGACCGTCAAGGACGCGTGGCGCCTCTGGATCTCGTGCACCAGCGCCGACACCCGTCGTCTGTGCGACAGGTTCAGGGAGCCGGGATTCGTCGACCGCCACACCCTCCTCGACGGAGCCTCGCAGGGAGCACACGGGAAGAGGGTGCGCCGCATGATGAAGGTCATCGATGCGGTGCGCCAGCTTCGCAGGAGCGACGGCGAAGCCGACACGGAAGCCACCGTCGACGCGCTTAACAAGATAGCGACGCCTGGCATTGGGACCTTCGCGGATGCCCTCACGGTGCTCAACGCGGACGCCGTAGCGACCTATGCTGGGCAGGGTAAGGGCGTCAAAGGGCTCGGCAAGACGGAATTTTCCAAGCTTCGTGTCGCCTGTGCGTTCGTGGCGCGCGGGCTCAAGCCCGAAACGTGGGTCGCCGACCTGTTCCCGGACACCTGGGTTGAGCAGATGAAGAAGACGTTGGCCGACCTGGCCCGCGAAAACGACGCCGGGCAGCTGCCTCCGACCAATAAGTCGACCAAGCGCAAGAAAACCGCTTGAATGTTCCCAGGCCTCCTGCTACTGTGGCCTGTTGCATGTTGTAGATGTTGATGCAGCATGCCTATGTTTCATACTGATACTGATGTCGACTTTTTGTTTCTCTCAATGATCCTGTTGTTCTCGGCCTAGCGGGGCATTCACGTGTCGTTCAAACTGAAGTAGACAATCATTACTAGCTAATGTGTTCATTACTCATCCTACGTAAAGTAGACAGGCACGCACAAAGAAAGAGCATCAAAGGGATCCGACAGCCAAAACAAGGAAAACGGTATCGACCATTTCATCATCGAGTCCACGCAGCACTCAATCTTAGCATGCCGTCGACTAGGCCGTCGTGCTGTCCTTCTTCGACTTCTTGACCTTCTCCGTGCCGCCCTTGGTCTTCGTCCCCTTCTTGCCCCTCAGACCCTTCCTCCCCCTGTTGTCAAGATCGGCCTTCATCTGCGCGTCAATCGGCACCGCGATGTCCCTCGCTCTTAGTTTCGGCCCGGCGATGGGGCACATTCCCCAAAACGCCATCGTCTCAACCGTTGCTCTAGCGATAACGTCGGCATCTACTCCAGCATTCCCCCCCGGATAGACCCTATCAAGGGCGGTCCTCTGGAGTGCTGGCGCGACGTTGTAGGCAACCTCTCCCAGGGGGCGGTCCCTGTTCATCTCGGCTTTCAGCACCGCCTCCATGACTTTTCCGAATACATCGGCGGTCGCCTGGCTCGCTCCGCCGATGATCGCCGCCGACTTCCCTTCTTCCACAGCATCCGCCAGCTGGGCATCGCCGTTCTCGACGAAGCACCACACAGCGCATGCGGATGCTGCTAACGCCCATGCCGCCATATCCGTCTTCTCCTCCTTGTCTCCCTCCTTCTTCGCCGCTGCCGCAGCGGTCTTCCCATATGCAGCGCACATTGACACGCGGCCTATCATCGCCGACACCATGGACGCCGACTTCTCCCGGCCTTCCTCGGTGCTAGCATCGACTGGGTACCATATCGCTGGCAGGAGCGCGGCGTGGAGACAATCGCCTGTGGACTTGTAATGGCGATACGCGTCGAGGATCTCCGTCAGCCTGTCACGCCACCACAAACAGGGCGAACATGAGTGACAACGACAACGACATCGACTTTGAATCGGAGGATTGCCGACTTACCGTGTCTTTGGAAGGAGCGTACCCCGGGCCCACATCACCGTCCACATCCCTGTCGGCAAGATCCTGACCTCCTCCCACACCTCCTTCCACCTCTCCAATTCGGCGCTGTCCAAGCCGGTGAGCTCGGTCATGAGCACCTTGCTCACGAAACCGTCGTAGACGACGTACGCGATGGAGTGAACATACGCGAGCTCCATCTTGTCCCGCGACTTGCCGATGTATCGATTGATGCCGTGCACCTTAATCTCGCCGACCCACCCTTGCTTGTCGCCCGAGGTATCGTGTCGGATGCCATGACCCCTCCTCTCCTTGCCCTTCCCCTCCTCCTCCTCCTCCTCCTCCTCCTCCTCCTCCTCCTCCTCCTCTTCCTCCTGCTCGACCTCCTCCACCTCCTCGACATCCTCATCCTCCTCCTCCGCCTTCCTCTTTCCCTTTCTCCCCTTCGAGGAACCCTCGCCGACCGCCTTCTCCTTCCCCTTTCTCCCGGTCGACGCACCTTCTCCGACCGACTTGTCCTTCCCCTTCCTCCCCGTCGACGTACCCTCGCCGGGCGACTTCTGATTCTCCCCTTTCCCTTCAACCTCCCCAATGCCGCCTCGATCTTTGTCCGCCGCCGTCTCCGCCGCCATCCCCTTCTGTTTATCCGCTGCCTTCACCTCCGACTTCTCCCGCGTCTTCCTCTGTGAGCCCGCCTTCCCCTTCCGTTTCGACTTTCCCTCACCGACCGCATCACCGGTCGCACTAGGCTCTGCCGCGATGCCGACGAGTCCCGCCGAAGGCTCCACATGTTCCGTGTCGGAGATGGCCAGGGTTCGGGGATTGGCTGCATCCAGATGGGCCTGTATGGCAGCGATATCAGCGTCTGCGGGGACCTCCTCAACGGCGCCGCCGCCGGTGGCAAGCGCGGCACGAACGCCCTTCTCCGCCGCCTTCTCCACATCAGCTGCCACATGGGTGGGTGGTGCGACATTCGCCGACGACGGCTTAGAGCCAGAGCCAGAAGCCTGCTGAGTCCTCTCAGTCGACGCTAGTGCGCCCAGCTGGGCGCGCAACAACACGGACTTTGGGTCTGCAGGAGTACGGGCGGCGACGACCGGCACTACACGTGGCCCACTGGCCGATGGGACGTCGACAGCAGGGGGGGCCTGTTGAACAGCCCTGTGGCCGGCTAGGAGCCTGAGCTGCTCCTTGAGCGCGTCCGCAACTGCCGCCCCTTTTCCCGCGCGGCCAACCTTGTCGGCAGACGGTACGTCGGCATGGCGCGGGACGTCGGTAGGTCGCCCGGCAGACGGTCCGGTCGGATGGCGTGCACCCGCGGGAGACTGGTGAGGAACCGCTGACGCCTCCGCAACCCCTGTCTTCGGGCCCTGGCCAGCTTTCGCGGACCCGCCTGGGGCCGTTTTGGCGGCGGCCTTCTCCTTGTCGCGCAGGCCTTTCACACCGCTACCCTGTCGTGGTGGCTTAACGCCGACCGAAGGCGGAGCCATTGGCAGTGCGTCATCAGTGGCATGCTCGTCGGCGGGACCCCCACCACCATGGCCCGTGCTGGCCGCTCCAACCTGAGCCCAGTGCTTCCTGAGGATGTCGACCACGCTCTTCCCCGACTGCTTCAACGAACTGCCGTCGCCGGCTCCCATGCTCCCATCGCCGGCGACGCGAGAACCAGCCGCTCCCTTGGTCCGCCTCGCGCCCGCCGAATCGTCTCCGTCCCCCCCCCCGCCGCCAGACCCCCCGCCTCCCTTGCTCCGCTTCGTGTTCGCCGAATTGTCCCCGTCGCCCCCCCCGCCGCCTCCCCGCCTCTTGTGACCCAGCTTCAAGCCCTCCGTAGGTTGCGCTTGGCCGGCGTCGTTTGCCGACGGCGACGACCCACGCCGAGCATACGCCACCGTGCCGACGACCTCGGCCATTATCTTCAGTCCGGAGGCGAGGAAGGACTGCTGCGTGGTCTCCGTCACCGCCTTCAGCACGTCCTCCTTGAAAGACTTCAGGAAATCTTCCGGCAAGGCCTGCGCTGGGCCGGTAGGCGGCGGCGGCTGGACTAGGCGGGGCGCGACGGCGGCGGCAATGTTGGTCTGCGCGGCGCCGATGTATTTGATGAACGACTCCTCCAACCCCTTCCTCGCCTCGCCCACCTCCGCCGTCACGTGCTCGGTCACTGTCTTCACCGCGGTCGCGCGTGCGACCGCCGCTCGTCCCTTGGGGTCGTCAAGATCCAGCAGCGTCTGCCTCGCTAGCTCGGCGAAGGACTTGGCCGATTGAATGGCGCTGTCCATGTTGTCGGTGAGGCCCTCGGTGATTGTGGTCGCCATGGTCGACGTGGCCTCTTTGAGGCGCTCCTCCGATTTCCGGTCGGTGTCGGCGACCTGGGCGGTCAAACCCTTCAACTTCTCGAGGAGCCCAGCTAATGCCGCCGCCAAGCTGTCGACCCGCCCCGTCTGCTCACCGAGCCGCCGTTCAAGGAGTGCATTGTCTGCACGCAATCGCCTGTTCTCCGCCCTCAGCTGATCGACGACGTCCAGCCGCGCCTGCCGCCCAGCCGCGGTGGAACCGGGATGACCGCTCGCCGCCTTCTTCCTCCTAGACCGCTCCCCGCCGGCCTTCTCCGCGGTGGCATCGGTATGCACATCCACGCCCCTCTGCTCCGGGACCGCGGCGTTATCCCCTTCACCGACCTCGACCATGCCACCACCTCCGTGAGCCGCCTCCACGCCGACCTCGCCGATATTCGCTGTCGCACCCTTCCCCTCCCCTTCGTCGTTCTCGACATCCGCCGATCTCCCACCCGTTTCCTCCGCTCCTCCGACAACGTACCCCTCCGCTCCTCCGACAACGTACCCCTCCGCCATTTCCACGTCCTCCACCTCTACCAACTGCTCCTCCTGGTGCTGCCTCTCGTGCTCCTGCGTCTCCTGCTCCTGCTCCTCCTCCGACTCCGACTCCGAGCCCGATCCCGACCCCGACCTCGACCCCGACATCGACCCCGACGACTCCTCCGAGCCCCCCTCACCCTCACGTTCCTCCTCGCGATCCTGGACCCCATCATCATCCCCGTGAACAACCTCGGTCCCGGTCACCCCATTTCCTGCGGCCGCATCGGCCTCGTCGACGCCGACTCCCGACTTGCCACGCGCATCAGCGACGTTCGGGGCGACCCCTACTGGTACGGATGCAGAATGGACTTCCTCCCCGTCGTCGTCACAGGCGTCGGCAGCAACAACGGTTTTCCCCGACCGTATGAGCGGGACTTGCTTCTTGATGAGGGCTACCATCTCGTTCCGCAGCGCCTTCAACCCCGAGACGGTGGGCTTGTCCATGCTGGTGGCAATGCGACGGAGGTCGCCGGTCAGGCGCTGGAACCGCCTCACAACCCAGATCAACGCGCTCATTGCTAGCAGGCCGGAGCCCGCGTCCGAGTCCCGGACGGTATCGGGAATTTTCTGCATACAACAGTGCAGAGAGCAAGGATGAGGGCGGCGTAGATGTGACACCATATGACGGCGAATCGTCCGGAACTCACATCTCGAAGGGGTTCGTCGCAGTCGGCGAGCCTCTCCTGCACCTCGTCTTCGGACGGCTTCGCCCACTCCCATTTCCTACCCTCGCGCCGCAGCTCGGCCAGAACAGCGGTCCGGAAAAACCTGCAAAAGCACGGCAAGGACGGTCGGTTAGCACGGTGCACGCGTCGTGTCGACAATGTATGCGATGTCGACTAAACTATCGAGCTCACTTCAGCACGCGGATCGCCTCGTCGCGGTGCCACTCCTTCACTGTCTGCGGGTCGGCGTGCCGGATCGAGGTCCTGACCTCCTGCCCCGAGGCATTGAACAAATCGCCGGGGCACAGGATGAGAACGACGCTGCAATGTGCTCCCGGAAGCGGTGCGATGCTGCACAGACAAGGCACGTCGATGGCGCTCAGAACAAATCACCGACACAGGTTGCAGCACACAGCAGGACCTCGAACCTGCTCACCTCGATATCAGTGGGATAACCGCCACGTCGGCGTCGAAAATCGTCGCAAAGCATGTGTGGTCGTCCTGACCCATCGCCGCCCGAAGCCGGCCGACTCCTATCGACCACAATCGCTCGCCTGCATCCGTTGAGCGGATCCATGCGTGCCTGCACGCATGCATGATTACAACAGATTAGAGAGGTATAGGTGCGCGGCACGATGGTGGAATGACGGGAGCCGAACGACTTCGGCACAACTCAGCGTCGTCGACGACCTAACGCATTACGTCGGCATCACCGATGTGATGTGCCTGAACTCTAAGCCCGTCGACATATACTACTGGACGCATTGAAACCCCGCCATGGCCGACCAGCATGGAATAGGCCCGTCGACGACGACATCTCAATAAGACACTCACTTGAGACCGAGTCCCAAGCAACGGGCGTTAAACTCTATCATAGGGTTTGTCAAAACGGCGTAGTCGTGCTCTTCGAACTTGGCCGTGTGTCCTCTACCGATGTCTAGATGCAGGGGGAAATCTAGCGAGGTCGGCGCCGCTTCGGCGGCTTTCTGGCCGGCTGCCATGGCGGGAGAGCGAGGATGCTATGCTACAGGCTAAGGGAAGAAGCGGTGGGAGTATGGAAGGCGCCGAGGTGGGAGGAAAAATGAAAGAGAAACGAGAACGCGAAAATGAGGGGCCAGTCCACCTCCAACGAAGAAAAGCCAGGCGGAGCCACGCAGGCCCGGTTGAGCGTCGCCCAGGGGGCCGTGATGCCTCGCTCGGCAGGGCTCGTGCACAAGTTGCGTGGCACAAGTGCACCCTCGCCGCCGAGCCAACAGGTCGACGTCACGTGCCCCGGCCTCGGTCGGCCAGGGGACGCAACTTCGCGTGGGCGCGGTGCGACGTTTCGGCACCACGTGTCGATTTCGCAGAGGGTCGCGAAAGCCGTGCGCCCCGTGGCGAACGACCCAGGTTTTCGCTCGAGTTTCGGGGGGTACGAAATGTCTCATGCACGCGATGCGAAATGACGGGCGAGCACGTGGCGTCACCGCAACGGGTCGCGAAATAGTCGAGCGACCCGAGGGGAGCCCCCGATTTTCGCGTGGACCTCGCCTGCCCGTACGGGCAGGCCGCGATGGGTTACTAGGGCCTCGCGGGCACGAGGGAGGGGTGGGCTGCCTTCGCGGCAGGGTTACTTCCCCTCGCCCGAGGTCTCGCCAGCTCGCCGCCCCCACCCGGTAACGTGGGTCGCTGTTCACTCTCGGGGGGGGGGGGGGTTGCGGGGCGGCGGTCGTGCGCCCGGCCCAGCCCAGGGCCAGGCTGGCGGGCCCGCACGCGCGTCACTCGCCCGCCTCGTCAGACCCCTGTCCGTCGACCCCCCTCGTCGACCCTGGCAACTCGGGTCCGTCGACCTGATTCCGCTGGGATCTTCAGCCAGGAAGACTGGGCATTCCTGGGGATGGCCAAACGCCTAACGTCTGGACATCTGAGCGTTGGGGCCACGTGCCTTCAACGAGGCAGCCCACCGACCTCCGTGCGACGTTTTCGCACGACTGATGTTCAGTAGTGTAGTTGACTCAACGTGCAACTGTAATGGCGCTGTTATTGACACCAGAATGAGGGCCAAAACCATTTGGGGCATAGGAAAAAAGCCAAACCACAGGGATGGCTGCATTGAAGTAGCGGGTGTTTGTGTTGGTAGGGAATTTGGCACTGCAAACCCCATTCGTGCGAGGATTGTCAATTCCGCAAAGAATATTTTCGAGGGTGCGTCCCCTGGCTTGTTCAACGACGAACATGTCGCAGACGTTTGTTCGCGCAGGAAATTCATTGGTGCGCGGGTGCAGATGTACACCTGTTGCCAACGTCACAAGGCTACTCTTACACGTCATTGGAGCAGCTAGTGTCCAGGCCATCGCCAGGAACGCCCTCTGAAAGTTTGACACGAGCCAGGATTGAGCGCATCCTCTATGCAGGCGCTGTCAAAAGTGAAGGAGGGCGTAGGTAAGGGTGCGTTCCTGGCTCGTGTCAACATCCAGGGTCATGTTTGTTTCTCAATCAGTTGTGCGAAAAGAGATCATGTTCCCGCCCAAAAGTATTTTTTTAACCCACACTTACGATAACCGACGAGCGCACTTAAGAGTACTGACTTTCAAGTCCAGTTTTGCTTAAACTGTTACTGTACTAGAATCTGGTGGCAAAACACGACAGACTCCCAACGGTCACTGCCAGCTTTGCAGGCTTTCTCGTTAAGCCACCCAACCAACCACGGTGCGAGAAACGCCTTAGGTCATTCGCAATCTGCTTTTGCGAAAGCATAACAGCCTCGAACTTCGAAAGGTCCAAAGTGTAACCACAAGTCCTATGCTGAACTCTTTCATACATCCCATTTCTCGAGGAACCTCATACTCCATTGCTCGCCTTGGTAGGCACTTCCAAGGTTGACCCACCACCGATTTCTTTCTACTAGTGTGCGTGACCGAGTAGCTCAGATCCTGTCAACGCAGCATCGCGGGAACACTCGCGATGGCGTCAGAGGCGGCGCCAGGTCAGCTCGGCGCGCGATGGACTCCTCCGGGAGGTGGCGCTGACGGGAAGGCGGGAGGGAGTAGCGGCGGTAGTACTGGTGGTGGTCTGCGTGTGAATAACAGCCTGTGCAACGAGAAAGTGCCGTTCGTTCCGCAAAACGGACGACGAGGTAGGTCCGACCGCCATTGCGAAACCAGACGATCTAGCATTTACGAAAGGCATGTTGGGAGTTAGTGGGTCCGTCGAAAACGCGAATCGAGATCGTTGACTGGATTGAATAGGTCGTCGCATCGGACATTTGCAATCGTCGTGGCGTTTATTGGTAATCCGTGCAAGTAAACCCTCCAATTCTCCGGATTGGTCTTTTGAATATTTCCGCCCCCATCCTCTCGTTACAGTCACGTGGTACATCTGCGGTCCTACAGTGTACGACTCGTCGCACATCGGCCACGCGCGAACGTATCTCTCCTTCGATATTATCCGCCGCATTCTTGAGGTGACTTTAGTTCCTTACAGTCACACGCTTTTCTTGTCTGCGAGGTGATCGTTCCGTTAATTTCAGCCTCTTTGTGCTTCTCTGCTATCTTCGTGTGTCTTGTACCGAACAGGACTATTTCGGGTATGACGTGTTCTATGTGATGAACGTGACTGACGTGGACGATAAGATCATCGTAAGGGCCAGGAGGGATTACCTCATCAAGCAGTACCTCCACGCCACGTCAGATGCCGCCCAGGTGAGCTACCTTGCCACGCCGGATGTCGTTCAGATAGGCTATTTTGACAGTCATGTCCATTTTTCTCAACTCGACCTCTTTTTGTATCAATCTTTACCTTTCTTTCCCAATCGACTCGAGAATCCTTTCCTCCATCGTCCTCCCTCCACCCTTACCTCTCCCCTTCCCAAGTCCAGGTCTTGGCAGACACGCAAGCAGCCCTCTCAACAGCAGTGGAGAAGCAACGGGGTGTGGTAGAGGGGTTGAAGTCGACAGCTGAGGGGGAGAGCAACGAGAAGAAGAAAGAGACGCTGCTGCAGCAGGCCGCACAGGAGGAGCTGAAACTGCAGCAGCTGGAAGGGGCGGCGAAGGCCGTCTTGGAGCGGCTGGGCCCAGCGTGCGTGGCGGCTGGCGGGCGGCGAGGTGTGTCTCTTGTGCTGGGACGGCGGGGCGAGGAGGTGGAGGCGAAGGAGGGGGGGGCTGTGGGTGACGAGGCACGAGTTAATGGCACAGCAGCCGATGGGGCTGGGGCAGCAGCAGATCGGGACGCAGCAGCAGCAGATGGGGACGCAGCAGCAGCAGATGGGGACGCAGCAGCAGCAGCAGGTGAAGCAGCAGAAGGTGACAAAATAGCAGCAGAGGCGGCAGCAGATGCACTGGCAGCGTCGTTGGATGCGAAGCTGAAGGCGACTGTCACTGATGTCTCCATCTTCAGACGCCTGGCTGCCAAGTGAGTGAGTGAGTGAGTGAGCGAGTGAGTGAGTGAGTGAGTGAGTGAGCGAGTGAGTGAGTGAGTGAATGAGTGAGTGAAGAAGTATCCTGTTGCTTTCCGTCCCATTGCTGTCACTTCATTTGTAAATCGTCCCATTCTGATTTTTTTCACGTCTGTACCCAAAACCCTTGTTAACAGGTACGAAGTGGAGTTCTTTGAAGATATGAAGGCGCTTGGAGTGCGGCCACCTCACGTGCTGACACGTGTCACAGAGTACGTGCTGAGATGGCACGAGTACGTGCTGAGATGGCACGAGTATGTGCTGAGCCTGAGATGACACGAGTACGTGCTGAGCCTGAGATGACACGAGTATGTGCGGAGATGACACGAATATGTGCTGGATTACATATTATTTGAACAAATTAAGATCACTGGCGTGACAGTTTCTTTCAGAATAAGTTCATGCCAATCACAACAAGACAGGCAATCTGTTTGGTTAAGTCGCCTCTTGCTGCCGCCCTCACAGCGCACTCATCCTGCAACGGCCCTCAAACCCCTCTTCTTGTCCTCCCCCTGGCCGAATACTAAGCCGGCTCAAAGTCACTTTCCCGTTGCTGCCCGTCTGCCCTGTCTGTTCATCCCCCGCGTCCTCTTTCCCCCCTTTCCCTCCCCTCTCTTCATACTTCCCCCTTCCATCCAGGTACATCGACGCTATTGTGAACTATGTGGACACGATCATTAAGAATGGCTGTGCGTATGCCACCAATGGCAGCGTCTACTTTGACACCAAGGCCTTCAAGTGAGTTCGCTCGGTGGCGAAGAGGTGACATGTGTGTGTATGTGTGAATTGTAGCCTCGTTTTGCGAGTTGGTTCCAGATTCTGTGTGTATGCCATCAACGGGAGTGTCCACTTTGACGCCAAGGCCTTCAAGTGAGTTCACCAGGTCATGGCGGCGTGACGTGTGCGTATGTGTGCATTATTGCCTGTTTTGTTACTTGACTTCAAAATCCTTGCATCATGCCATCAACGAGACGAGAGTGTCTACGTCGACACCAAGGCGTTTACGTAAGTTCACTAGATGGAGGCGACATGTGTGCGTATGTGTGATTGATAACCTGTTTTGTAAGTTGACTCCACAGTCTTTGCATATGCTTGCCATCAACAGGAGAGTCTCCTTCCCCTCTCCTCTCCCCCCCATTCTCCCCTCTCCCCCCCACCCTCCTTCCCCTCCCTTCACCTCCAACCCACTACAGGGAGTCAGGCCACATGTACGGGAAGCTCTGCCCGTGGTCCGTGGGCAGTGCTGAGCTGGCAGCAGAGAGCGAATCAGACTTTGCCACGTCAGAGAAGCGCAACCGCAGCGACTTCGCCCTGTGGAAGGCCAGCAAGGCCGGCGAGCCATCGTGGCCGTCGCCTTGGGGCGATGGACGGCCAGGATGGCACATTGAGTGCTCAGCCATGGCCTCAGATATCGTTGGGTTCCCCATGGACATTCACTCTGGGGGCATGTGAGTGGTGGGAGCGGGGGAGTGGGAAGTGGGGGACGGGGGAAGGGCAAATGTTGGAGGGTGAAGGGGTTTAGGGTTTGGGATGACAGAAGGCGTTCAGGATGGGACGGACGGCCAGGATGGCACATTGAGTGCTCTGCCATGGCTTCAGATATCGTTGGATTCCCAATGGACATTCACTCAGGTGGCATGTGAGTGGGAAGGGGGAGTCTGGGAGGGAGGGGAGTGAGGGGATGGGGGGGGGAGTGGGGGGGTTGCTGATGCTAGTGGGTCGGTCTGGGGGCAATGGGTGGACGGACGGCCAGGATGGCACATTGAGTGCTCTGCCATGGTGTCAGATATTGTTGGTTGTCCTGTCCTGTGTACATTGCACACACGAGTGTCTTTTCAGTCGTCACCTTCCTTCCCTTCCACCCAACCCTTCCGATCTTCACTGTGTCACGCGCCTCGCCCCCCACCTCCCCCCCCACCTCGCCCCCCACCTCGCCCCCCACCTCCCCCCCCACCTCGCCCCCCACCTCGCCCCCCACCTCCCCCCCCACCTCGCTCCCCACCTCGCCCCCCACCTCCCCCCCCACCTCGCCCCCCACCTCGCCCCCCACCTCCCCCCACCTCCCCCCCACCTCGCCCCCCACCTCGCCCCCCACCTCCCCCCCCACCTCGCCCCCCACCTCGCCCCCCACCTCCCCCCCCACCTCGCCCCCCACCTCCCCCCCCACCTCGCCCCCCACCTCCCCCCCCACCTCGCCCCCCACCTCCCCCTTACCCGATACCCCAATACCCCCCTTACTAGCGACCTGCGGTTCCCCCACCACGACAACGAGTTGGCACAGGCGGAGGCGTTCCACAGGTGTGGGCAGTGGGTGAACTACTTCCTGCACGCGGGCCACCTGCACATCGAGGGCCTCAAGATGTCCAAGTCGCTAAAGAACTTCATCACCATCCGCCAGGTACCGTACTGTGCCCTGCCTGCTCTGCCCTGCCTGCTGTGCCGTGCTGTCCCCTGCTGCTAGCGCCTATTTTTCTCACGCTCCTACAAGCCTACTTACTCCCTCACCCTCTCACCAATCATTCTTATCCTCCTCTCCACCCACCCACCCAGCGTCCCCGCCCACCCACCACTATAGAGAATCACAGTGTACTCTGATTCAGATTGCTTCTTTGGCTGCTTGCTCCCCCTCCCCGTCATCGCCTCTTATCATCCTGCCCCCTCCCCGTCATTGCTCATTCTTATCCTCTCTTCCCCGACCCACTCCCCCACCCACCCACCCTCCCGTCAGGCTCTAGAGAAGTACAGCGCGCGCCAGTTCAGATTGCTCTTCTTGCTGCAGGCCTGGGACAAGGTAACGTGTCTGGGTTATTGTGGGGGCCAATGCGGATAAGATTGGGATTGCCCTGCGCGTTTCACCGGCCGCCCTGTCTCAGGTTGTTCCGAGCCAGAATGATACACCACAGCTCTCCTCGCCCGGCCCCTCTCCCCCGCCCTTCCCATTCCTTGGCTCAAATCGAAACTGATTCTCTGCCCCATATCCCTGTGCGAAAGATGAATCTGTTTCTATGATTCGCCTCCCTTCATATGCTTTAGCCCTCCTCTGATCCTCTCCACCCCTAACCTTGCCTCCGCCCATCAGCCAATCAACTATGGGGAGGGTGCGATGGCAGATGCGGTGGGGAGGGAGAAGCAGCTCAGAAACTTCTTCCAGACCGTTCAGGCTGAGATTCGGGCAGCGGTGAGTCGTGCTGACGTGGAGTGAGGTGTCATATGTTGAGGTGCGGTGTCACAGAATGTATTGTTGTTTGCAATAGATTCAGTTACTTGCTATTGTAGGTGTAGTTGGATTATTCGAAGTACTGTAGAAGGTGAGTTTGGGGCGTGGGGATTGACGCAAAGTGGTGATTCAGGGACTTGCGAGGCGCAGGGTGGGACAAATTCAAGGGCGAGCCCTGGGCAATCTGAAAGGCCAATCCTAAAGCCTAGCGGGCGGAGCCCAATGTGAGTTACGGGAAACTGCGCGGCACGGGGTAGAGATTCAAATAGACTAGGAACTCACTGCTTAGTTCGTTCTCTCGTTTGTTTGCCTAAAATAGTGGGTTTACGTTGCCTTTCTAACGCTACAGCAGCTAGGTGACTAGGCCACTGAGGGCAGCCATCGTGTGGGAGCCAGAATCTCTCAGAAGGCAGAGGCAGAGCAGGTAAGGTATCACAGGAACAGAGCTTGGAAGAAGAAGGGAGGGAGGGTGAGAGCAGGTAGGAGGAGGCAAGCCATGGGATGCCACAGATTATGAGTTTCCGACAGCGGTGACATCTGCTTACAGTGCAGATCATACAGTGGGATGAGAGCTGGGTGCATTCAAGTACCTGCCTCAAAAAGAGCATACAGGCAGTGTAAATCCATAATTGCTCTGGCCCGGGGTGAAAATCAGTGGATACGATTCAAACCAGATCAACCCAGTGTCCAACTACCCGAATCCCTCCCCATCTTCCCCCAACCACCACCCCCTCCTTTCACTTCACATACCTCCCCTCTCCCGATTCCGTTAATCCCCTCTCCGTCCTTCTCTTAGAATGACATCCCCCTCTTCCTGCCCGTCCCTGGCCATATCTACCATTTTTCTTGGCATATGCTTATTCGCTCTCTCTTGCGTCATTCGATCTGTCTGGCTCTCTTGGTCACCCACAGGGCGAGCAGGGTGAGGAGGCGTGGAGCGAGTTGGAGAAGACTCTGAATGCTGCTGTGGCTACAGCACAGGCTGAGGTGGGTGCTTGGTGCAGAGAGTGAACGGGGGCACGAGTGATGGAGTGTGAGAGAGATAGAGAGTGGAGGAGGCGTGGAGCGAGTTAGAGAAGACTCTGAACACTGCTGTGGCTGCTGCACAAGCTGTCGTGGGTGGAATGGTATGTCGTGGGTGGCATGTTGAGCTGGCTGACTCCAACAAATATTCCGAGTATGAGAAATCTGTCTAGTCAATTGCGGCTAGACAGAAGTGGCTCTCAAAATCCTCCACGCCCTTGCGGCTTCCATTCCACGCCATTCCATTCCACTCCATTCCATTCCACGCCATTCCATTCCACTCCACTCCATTCCATTCCACGCCATTCCATTCCACTCCATTCCATTCCACTCCATTCCACCTCCTTCCCACAGCCATTGTAACGTACACAAGCAACCGATGAGAGGGCTATAAGGACGCTGCAGGAAAAGCTATCTCTTTTTTGACCTCACTCCCTCCTCTTCAGGTCTGCTCTTTGGCCTCTTCTCTCCTCATCTCCTTACCTCTCGCCACCTCTCCCCACCACTCACCGCCACTCTCACCATCTCTTCTCACCACTCCCCATCAGGTCCGTGCTCGCCTGGAGGACAACTTTGACACGGCAGGCGCCATTGCAGCACTCTTCGACCTCGTCTCTACCACCAACTTGTACCTTTACCCACCACACCCCACCACTCCCCACCGCACCCCACCACAACGTGTACCTGCCTCATTTCTTCCCCAACCACTTTCCATCAGGTCCGCGCTCGCCTTGAGGAAAATTTTGACATGACAGGAGCCATAGCAGCACTCTTCAACCTCATCTCAGCCACCAACGTGTACCACCCACCACACTCCACTACTCCCCACCACTCCCCACCGTCCCCCACCACTCCCCATCACTCTCCACCACCCTCACCACTCACCATCAGGTCCGCGCTCGTCTAGAGGACAACTTTGACACGGCGGGAGTCATAGCAGCGCTTTTCGACCTCATCTCAGCCACCAACGTGTACCTCAAAGACACATCCGCCAAGAAACGCCGCCCGCGGCCGCTCCTGCTGCAGTCTGCCGCCCAGTTTGTCTCCCGGATCCTGCAGGTCTTTGGTACGTCGCCATGCCCTTCACTTCCAAGAGCCTGAAACGCCTATCCTCCACCCGGCAGCCCAAGTCTAGAGGCGACTGAGAAATGCATAGCGTTGCTGCGTGGACACGTGACGTCACAAGAGTGGTTTTTTTAGATGTCTAAAAAATTAACTCTTATCACGTGGATGGATGCCTACCGCCTGCCCGCCCCGAACGGCCCTTGTAGGTGAGGCGTCTAAAGTCTATCCTCCACCCACCCACCACCTACACCCTGTAACGTAAACCGCAATCGAAAGAGGCTATTGTGCTGTGTTGAGTGTTTATTCGTGTGTGTGTGTGCGTGTGTGTGTGTGTGCGCGCGTGTGTGTCACCTGCTTGTGCTACAAGTCTGTTAGACTTGAGTCTAGATCATTTGGCATGACAGCAGGAGGAGCGGCAGCTGGGGCTGAGGGCGAGCAATCCAAAGAGGCTATTGTAGTGCTTGAGTGTTTACATGTGAATGTCGACTGGCCGTGCTGCAGGTCTGCTAGACTCGAGTCTGGATTCGTTCGGCATGACAGCAGGAGGAGCGGCAGCTGGGGCCCAGGGCGAGCAATCCAAAGAGGCCATCGTGGTGAGTAAAGGGTGTACACATCTTTTTATTCGTATATGTGTGTATACATACATGTACACATCATGTTGCTGTTTACTTCCTATACCCCTTGTCATTCTAACCCCATGTCAACGCAGTCTCTTTTTTCTCATCTCCATTCAACCCCTTCTCCTCCCTCCCACTTCCCCTCAACCCAGGTGCCCTACATCCAAGGCTTCTCAACGTTCCGTGACGATGTGCGGGCAGCAGTGCGCAGAAACGCCACCAAGGTGAGATGCAATGAGAGTAGCAGAATATGACAAGGCAGGCAGGCTGGACCATACACGGCCTCGTGAGGTCCCACGGATCCTTGCTCAAGAGAAAGAGAAGGGCAGTCAGGGTGAGTGTGGACTCATCATTCGCCTCATCCCATAAATCCTTTGCTCAAGGGAAAGAGAATTGCAGTCAAGGTGGGAATCTGCATGCAGCCCTGCCTCGGAGTCTGGTTCGGTTCGGTGGTCTCCTCAAACTCGGGGTCCTTGGGGTGTTCACTCCAAGAGAGCACGATGAGAGTCGAGTTTTGAGACGTCTCAAAAATTTGCGTGAGAGTAATCTAGTTTTGAGACGTCTCAAATCTGGTTCGGTGGTCTCCTCAAACTCGGGGTCCTTGGGGTGTTCACTCCAAGAGAACACGATGAGAGTCGAGTCAAAAAGCGGATTATCACCCTCCGTCCACCCTCCTTCCTCCCACCCTGTAACGCCGTCATTGGCAGGATGTGCTGTTGTCGCTAACTGACAAAATGAGGGACCATGCGATGGTGCCCCTTGGGAGTCGCTGCGAGAACCGGGGCAGTGCGGATTGACTGTACCTTTTCTCTCTCCCCACCCCTGATGTTGATGAGCTGGTGTTATGTTCAGGATGAGTTGCTGTCGCTAACTGACAAAGTGAGGGACTATGCGATGGTGGACCTTGGGATTCGCTGTGAGGACCGGGGCGGGGAACTTGTGTGAATCCACTCTGCCTCCTCCCCCCACCCTCACCCTGCTGACTTTTGAGTCGACTCAAAAGTCCCCCCCCCCCTCTCATCCCTGGTGTTGACGTGCTGTGTGTACTGCCATTCAGGATGAGCTTCTATCTCTCACCGATAAGGTGAGGGACTATGCGATGGTGGACCTCGGGATTCGCTGCGAGGACCGGGGCGGCGCGGGGGCAGAGGCAGCGGTGGTGAAGCTGGATGATCCCAAGGTGCTGCGAGCTGAGAGGGATGAACGGATCGCCAAGGCTGCTGCTGAGGCCAAGCGGAAACTGCAGACGAAACTGGCGGCCAAGGTGAGACGTGGTTGGGTTGGGTGTACTCGGTTGGTGTTGGGATGAGGGGAGCAGAAGCAGCAATGGAGGGTTGGGAGGTGGGAAGGGTAGGAGCGGAGGCAGCGGTGGTGAAGCTGGATGATCCCAAGGTGCTGCAGGCAGAGTGGGACGAGCGGATTGCCAAGGCTGCTGCTGAGGCCAAGCGGAAACTGCAGACGAAACTGGCTGCTAAGGTGAGGAACTCTTGGGTAAACTGGGTTTCTGGGGCAAGGTGAAGGTGTTGGTGTTGGTGTGGGGGGTGGGGGAGATGGGGGAGATGGGGGAGATGGGGGAGGCTGCAGTGGGGTCTAGTTGAAGAGGGCTCTAGCCTGAGCCTCTAGGAGTGGGGAGTGGGGAGTGGGAAGGAGGGGAGGCGAGCAGCGGTGGTGAAGCTGGATGATCCCAAGGTGCTGCGAGCTGAGCGGGACGAGCGGATCGCCAAGGCTGCTGCTGAGGCCAAGCGGAAACTGCAGACGAAACTGGCGGCTAAGGTGAGGGAGGGGATGGGTAAACTGGGATGAAGGGAATGTGTTAGGGGGCGTAGAGGTGAGGGGGCTGCGGTGGGGTCTGGTGAAGGGTCTGAGAGTGGAACTGCATGGAGGGAAGGAGTGGTGGGCAGGCAGCGGTGGTGAAGCTGGGCTTTTTTTTTAGCGCTCCAATGCCGTTTCCCATCTCGTTCCCCCTTGTATCTCGCTTTTTCCCTTCTCCCCCACAGGTGAAGGGCTTGGAGCGGTGGCAATTCGCCTCTGTGCCTCCTGCAGAGATTTTCAAGAAAGTGGTGGACGAGTACAGCACGTGGGATAAGAAGGGCGTGCCCAAGGGAGAAGGGAGAAGCACTTGTGTCAAGGGCAGCAAGAAGCTCATTTTGCCTTGTATTGTATCCTCTTCCTCCTTGCACCACAGGTGAAGGACTTGGAGCGGTGGCAGTCGGCATCTGTGCCTCCCTCTGACATCTTTCGGAAAGCGGTGGACAAGTATAGTGCGTGGGATGACAAGGGCGTGCCGACTCATGACAAGGATGGCAAAGAGCTTTCAGCTAAAGCCAAGAAGGTGTGTGCTTGCTTTGCGGTTAAAAACAGCAGCATTCAGCCTTCAGTCTTGGGGGGTGGGAAGCTGAGTATCACCCATGGCTGCCAGGGAGTGGACAAGGGCTGAACCCATCTCCCTCCCCCTCCACACCCCCACTCCTGTCTGTCAGGGAGTGGACAAGGAATTGAATAAGGCAGAGAAGGCATTGCCAAGTACCAGCAGACAGTCGTTCTCGTCCTCCCCCTCCACGTTCCCCATCACCCCCTCTCTCTCTCCGCACGTCCCCGCACTTGCCCCTGCTTTGCGAGGGAGTGGACAAGGAGCTGAAGAAGGCAGAGGAGGCATTTGGCAAGTACCAGCAGACAGTCGTTCTCGTCCTCCCACTCGGCCTCCCATCACTCACTCTCTCGCCCTTTCTCCCTCTGCACATCCCTCCACTCGCCCATGCCTACCAGGGTGTGGACAAGGAATTGAAGAAGGCAGAGGATTCGTTTGCCAAGTATCAGCAGAAGGTGGGAGAAGATCCCGGGTTCCTGGACTCGCTCAGAGAGGAGGTTGCCAGGCTGGAAGCTGAGCTGGCAAAGTGATAAGAAAGATTTGCCAGCAATGGTCGAGCGCAGCGCAGCATAGAGCCTGATCAATAGGTCCTGCTTACGATATCCCTGGGCCTCGTCTAATCTCTAGGCCCTGTTTAACCCTACTGTTTCCTGATGTGTGAGATGCACTGCACCGCACTTCACCGCACCATCTTCGAAGCATTTGGCTGTGAGAGGATTGTGGCATGTGATTGGATGGTTGTTTTGGATGTGGTGAAAATGAATAAACTTTTTGGCGCACACTGACTGCTGTGTTGCCCAAACAGCTCCGAAGAATGCATTCAGTGCAAGGCTGGGTTGTGTTGCTACAGTACAGTAACGTGGAAGAGAATTATAATTCAAAAGTTTATTGTGTGTTACGTCGCGTTGAGTCGCGGTGTATCATCACTGTTGCAGCAGTAACAGCCCAAACAGAACGGTGGAGAGCGGTACAGTGAGGTTGTCGTCTAGCTTATCGCTGATTGGCAGTGACTCCACCACTGTAGCTCCGAGGCTGACCAGGAAGACTCGGAGAGGCAGGTTCGGCAGCAGCAGCCAATCAGAGGAGTAGAATCCTGCTGCTATGAAGAGATGAATGGTGCTGATGGGATGTTACGAACGAAAATGAGGAAGGGAGGTGAGGGAAAGGGTGGAGGTGAAGAGTGCTGATAGGATGAGGAAGGGGACTTGTTACGAGCGAAAGGACGGCAGTGTGAGTGGGGGAAGGGTGGGAGAAGGGAGGAGATGACAAATGCTGAGGATGTGGAGATGTTACAAGCTGCAATGAGGAAGGAGAGAGGAGGATGGTGGATAGGGAGGAAAAGCAGTGTTGTTAGCTACTAGCATGCAATCAGAGCGCAACATGCGCAATCAGAGCCAAACAATGAGCGAGACAGTCATGCAAGCAAGCAAGCACGCACAAGAGGGCGAGCCCATATCCAAAGAGCAGCATGGCCATGCTCCCTGCCCAGCTCTTCTCGTCGTTCCACGGCAGCTTTGCGGAACCTACTCTCCGCCCCACAATGTCAGCGATGCCTGGAGGGAGAGTGAGATATGGAAAGGGAGGATGGCATCGCAATGAAGGGCGATGCAATGAGAAATGGAAGTGCAAGGAGAAACGAAGGGCGCAATGAGTTTGGAGGGGCAGCAATGCAATGGGAGGGACGATGAAACTGGAGCAATGAAGACAAGAGGGGTGATGGATGGAAAAAGAGAGAGCAACATGATCCAGCATGGCAGCTTGGATTCTGCTCTACTAACCACCATCTCCACCGCACTACCCACCATCTCCACCGCACTACCTGCCATCTCCACTGCACTACCCACCATCTCCACCACACATGAGCGCCAGTGCCACGCCCCCAACAGGGGAGGAGCGCCAGAATGTGATTGTAACGAAGGCTAGCGTAAGGATGTAGTATAGGGGGCCGCCCAAGAGCTCGCTGTATGAAGGGGGAGGAGGGAGTGTGTGCAGGGGAGGTGAGACGGGCAAGAGGGTGAGAAAGAGAGAGGAAGTAAGAGGGAGAGGAGAGAGAATATATTTTGAAAATCTTCAGAGGCTGAAAAGGTAGAAGATTGCAGGGAGGGAGTAAGAGGAGGGGGAAGAGGAGCTGAAGGGGCCCAGGAGCTGCACACACACCACACCGCACCACACCACACCACACCACACCACACCACACCACACACACCTGGAGCTACCCTCTCGGCTCATAGCCTTGACCATGCCTTCGTTGCGCGTCACCCCCAGCCCCAGCAGCAGCAGGCGCGTGGCGTTGATTAAAGGGACCGCACTGGCAAAGAAGCGTGCATTGAAGCTCGTGCTGCAAGGAGGTGGGGGTGGAGGGCGGTGTGAGGGGCGAAAGGGGGAGGAGGAGAGGGGAAGGAGAGGAGGGGACGAGAGGGGGTGGGGGAGAAGGGGGTTTGTTCGTTGGGAAGATGACACCAGCACTATAACCCGCTACACACGTGCGTCGCATTCATGTGAGTATCCCGAAACCCTGGCGGAAAAGCGTGCGTTGAAGCTTGTGCTGGAACCACAGAAAAGCACGGGTGTTGAAAGGGGAGGGGAGCGGAGAGGAGAGGGTTGGGAGGGGGAGGAGAAGGGGGTCGGGGGTGGGTAGTGTATGGTTTGTGATGTGAAGTGGGGAGGGGGGAGGAGGATTGGGGTATAGGCAAGATTATGTGAGGCTAACTCGAGTGGCTGAAGCAGTAGCAGCAGGCCCTGAGCTTAAGAGCGAAGAGAGGAAGAGTTGACTTGAAGAGCCCAAGTAACAGAGGATGCTCAACTGAAGATCCACAAGAACAGCTCACCAACCATGTCAGCCACGTCAGTTAATGTAGGCCTACATGGCCGACACACCAGGAGGAGCAAGGAGGGAGAAGGAGCTGCTGACATGGAAGAGAGCTGCTGACATGGAAGAGAGCGGCAAAAGGAGGGAGAGCTGACCTGAAGAGCCTAACGAACAGGGGTGCTGCTGACCTGAAGAGCGGCCAGACGAGCATGAAGAGCGGCCAGACGAGCATGAAGAGCAGGCCTGTGGTGATGTGCACGAGCTTCTGAGGCGCCTTGAAAATCCACATAACAGCTAACAGAGAGGAGGAGCTGATCTGTTTTGAGCCGTCTCAAAAGAGGGAGAGCTGACCTGAAGAGCGGCCAGAAAAGCATGAAGAGCAGGCCTGTAGTGATGTGCACGAGCTTGCGACTCAGCTTCTGCACTTGGCGAAGCATGCAATAATGGGGTCAAGGGTGAATGGGGGAGGAGGAGCAGGGGATGAAGACCACTCTTAACTCACCACTCATCTCCCCACCTCACCTCACCTCACCTCATCGCACCTCACCTCACAGCTTCTCACACCTCTCACTTTTTACTTCCTCAACGTCCAAAGCCTCCCAGCCTCTTTCAAACCCACAGCTCACCCGTTCAATGAGGCCTCGCCTCACCAGCTCATCAAACAGCCGCACCCAGATGAGCGACCCCAGCAGGGTTACCCGCCCCATCACCGGATCATGCTACTCGCCCAACCCCACTCCCATAACATCACTCCACTCCACCGGACGTTACTCGCCTTCCCAGCTACCAACCAGCCTCTCCAGTCGGCTCAACGGTAAAAGCTCACCCGTTCAATGAGGTCTCGCCTCGCCAGCTCATCAAACAGCCGCACCCAGATGAGAGATCCTACCAGGGTTACCAGCCCCATCACCGGATCCTGCCACTCGCCTAGTGATGCCGCTGCCGCTCCCACCCCTGCCGCTGCTGCCGTTACTGCCGCTGCCGCCGCTGCTACTGGCGCTGCTGCTCCCGCTGCTGCTGCTGCTGGTGCTGCTGCCGCTGCACTAGCAGCGGAACCGGCAGTGACAGAGATAGCAGCTACAGTAGCGCCAGAAAAGGCGTTTTCTAGGGCAATGGGTGGGGCGCCTAACTGGGCTTGAATGGGAAGGGCGAGGGAGAGCGAGAGAGGGAGGGAGGAGGGGAGGACGAGAACAGGCAGGGATGATAAAACCCCTGACATATGCGTTACGTCTACAATAGGGAGGTCTGGCAAGGACGCTAGGTTCCACACTGCGTTCTGCATGAACCCTCCTCCTGCCGCTCCTCCCCCCACTGCTCCCACGGCTTCTGCTGCTGCCGCCGCCGCCTCTGCCGCCGCCTCAGCTGCTTCCGCTGCCGCTTCTGCCGCTTGCGCCGCTGCCTCTGCTGCGTATGCTGCAGCTTCCGCGGCGGCCTCCGCTGCTGCAGCTGCAACCTGCGCGGCGGCAATCGCGGCGGCTTTGCTCGTAGTAGCAGCGAGCGCGTAGGGCGGGAGAAGCAGAGCGGTACCGAGGACACTCGCCGCTACAGCTCCTGCTACAGCTCCTGCTACAGCTCCTGCTACAGCTCCTGCTACAGATGAGAACCGGGCCCAGTGGTCACTCCCCCGTTCATGCTCCCCCCAGGCGTGCCCGCGTTTCGCGCCACCATTAGCGGCATCGCAGGTGCTCCAGCTTCCATCAAATTTGTTGTCTCTATTGTCATTGCCTGAGCCTCTCCGGATGATGCTTGGACCGGTCGAATGTCGAAGTGAACTGGGATTTCTGGTGTCATCGCGTGTTCCTGTATCCTCGCGTGACTGAGTCGAACGGACGAGCCTCCCTGCTACGCCGTCGCGGTCGGCGTACTCGTTATAGTCACGGCGGCCACCCGCGGCGATAACTCTGCTGAAACTATGTGCTGGGCTCGCCTGAGATACTCTACACTCGTGGGGATGAGTGCGATCATGGCGATGATGACTCTTGAGGCGCCTCCACAGTAGGCTCGCCTGAGATACTCTACACTCGTGGGGATGTGGGTGATCATGGCGATGTTGATGGTGGTAATGGTGATGGTGATGGCGGTGATTGTTCGAAGAAATGCGTTGGTGTTGCTGACGATATAATGCCCGCTGAACCGGTACACCATATACGCATTGTAAGGCCTGTGAACCCTGATCATGCTCACCCCGTTGACCCCGTTGACTTGAATAACTCGGGAGTCTGTCCCGGCGAATTGGGTGCACGCTACGGAAGCGTATGCAATCTTGCAGAGAGAAGGGAATGGCGGGTGGGAATTGGGTGGCGTAAGCAGGCGATTGGCGGAGAGAATGGGAGGCCATGGCAGGAACCATCGAAGTTGTCCTAGAAGCCACAGCTTGGTATCGAAATTCCCGGAGCGTTACCTATCCTGCGGCAAAATGCAGGCTGGCACTTGTTGAGCAGACACTAAGGGCGCGTGTGATCTATTTTCGAGTTCGGAAAAAAGGTCGAACTTTGTGTGGTTACCAGCTTCGCTAATGTCGTCAGGAAGCTTTGGCGAAGGCATGAGAATTTTGGGGCACATAAGTTCGAATGTCAAATGTGAACTCCACTCGAATCACACGAGTGAACGTGCGGGTGCACGTGAGGCGAGTGTGTGCTGCTTTCAGCACGTACGAAGACCATCCGAAATTTGCGACCGCTTTGCGAAGGTCGTTGAGCTTCGTTGTGCATTACGTTAACGGTCGCGCTGGACCAGGTAGCCTACTCCCCTACGGGCGGCTCGCCGTCATCCCTAGAAGGTCGAATCTCTGTGTTCGACCTAGGGTGTGTGATTGTGACTCGTCTGTGTTGGAGACCCAAGATTCGAACTTCGCTGGAAAGAAAGTAGAGTTTTGTTCAAATGCTACATTCGACCTAAAAACATAAACTTTCACAAATTTGTAAGACCACACGCGCCCTAAAGGACAGATCCTACCGAACAGTGAGGGGTATGCAGCCTGAACGACTAGTCTAAGGAGATTCCTCAGTCCCTACAGGTAGTGTGCAGAATGAACTTGCAGAGTGCGCAGTAAAACGGATGACGAGAATGTTGAACTACAGAATTACTGAATGACGATACAAGGAAAGTGTCGAGACTAAATAGGGGAAATGCTAGCTAGGCGGGGAGGTCGGGAAAGGATGGTTCGATGATGGTTGTGACTCGTGCGAAGGCGACTCGGGGGTGGTTCGGTGCGACGAAATAGGCCCAACAGGCTCGTCGCGTGACCCTCAAGATACCCTCGCTAACGAGTGCCTCAGTAAGGATTTGTATATCCTTACAGGTAGATGTAATGTAACTGTTACAGGTGCAATGAATCGAGGTAGCGAGAATTGCACTAAAGTGTCAAACAAGTACAAAGCATGAGCGAAGGCATGAGCGAATACTTATACGCGAAACACGCAAACGGTAACGCGGTGCGTGCGAGCTAGCTAGTGCTACGCTGGCGCGAGGTTCGGGCTAGTCATGAGCAGGCCTAATTTTATCAGTGTAAATCACCCTGATACCCTGATAATCAGGGTGGTTTTTTATGGTCACACTGATGGGCTAGGGTTATTTTTCGGGGAGGTTGATTTACCCTGATGTGTCAGGTTTTTTTTGTAAGGCACACTGATGGCCAAGGGTTTACAGATCCCGTATCAAGTTTTACCCTGTAACGCGTAACCTACCCCCCCCCCCTCCCCCCGGTTCACCCACCCCCACTTTCCCGTAACCTGGGATTCCACCAAGGCCACTGAGGCCGGAATTTCGGCTTTGACAACTCCTGTGCTAGCACACAGAGGGCCACTATTGGCCAGGGTTACAGTTTCCTTGCTGGCACCGCCACCTCCGCTGGTTGGTCTGTTTGTCAGACTTGACAACAAGGCCGGGTTGGCTGGAAACTTGGCTGACTGCAGCAACAATGACCACGATGAACAGCCTTGGGGCATGTCTGATGATGAGTAGGATCTGTATTGCGTGCAGCATTAAAAAAAACTGACCAGGCTTTACAATAATCTTACACTGATGCGACAGGGTAAATTTTTAGAAAGTTAAGAATACCCTGATGGGAAAGTTTTTCTTTAGGGGGTCACACTGATAATCAGTTTTTTGAGCTAGGGGTACACTGATCTTAAGGGTATGTCAAATCCAAAAATTTGCCCTGGTCATGAGGCGTAGGCGGACTCGGCTGTTCTAGCAGTGCGATGTTTGGTGAAACAGTGTGCGCGAAGTTGGCGAAGCCCCGCTAGCAGTAACAGGCGAACAACGGCTGCTGCTGTACGCGATGTTGCAGGTCGCGGTAAGGAATGTCTAGAAAATTCCTTACAATACCCCCCCACCACCCCCCCCCACCGCCCAAAAAGGCCCCCTCCACTACGCAAGTGCGTGTTATCGTGGAAACCCTGGCTCCTCGTGTACACTTGCAGGGCAGGGTGGTTTTCAATGTCGGCAAGGGGCACACAGCTATCCTCAGTTGGCATGCGGTCCTTCCGGCGAACGAGAAACATGATCCTCTTGATGCATGTGGGGTGTCGAATCCGATGGCTCAGGACTTTTTCGAGCTCGATGATCGGCTCCGATGCAGGGCGAGTCATGGATGGCGGTCGGTGAGGAGGTAGTTGGCTCGTGGTTGGGATGTAAGGGCGAAGCAGGCTAACGTGGAATTATGGGCTAATGTACCAATTTGTCGGCAACAGTAAGTGGGCGGTAACTGGGGTTATCATGTGGCTGATTTGGAATGGTCCACAGTAGCGCGTCGTAATTTTGGCAGGATGGGCAGTCTTAAGTCTTTGTGTCGAGCACTACGTAATCTCGTGACTGGTACGTGACCGGCGGTGGCGGTCAGCGTTGCATTTAGCAATGGCGTTGGCTTTTTGACTACTCCAGCGGCTCTGATGCGGGCAACTTGCAGAATCTCAGCGAATTGTTGTGCACGTAGCGTTGGGTTGTCCGGACTCGGCGTCATGGGCACTATAGGGTTTTGCCCGTAGTTCAGACAGAACGGGGATTGATGCGTCGTCGCTAACGTGGCGTTGTTGTAGGCAAACTCGATCAGAGGCAGTTGCTGCTCCCAAGTTATCGGGTCGTCGCATGTGGCCCGAATCAACTGTTCCATCGTATGATTGGTCCGCTCCGTTTCACAGTCGGTCTCTGGGTGGTACGATGAGCTGAACTATAGCCTGGTCCCGAACTACTCCCAGAGGTTCTTCTAGAAGTTGCTGGTGAACTTCGTGTCACGGTCGCTAATTATCGCAGCTGGTATCTCGTGTAGGCGAACGACGCCTGCGATGAACAGGCGAGCAGTGTCTTCGGCTGAGATTGATTTGTTGCAGCCAGCGAAGTGAGCCATTTTCTATCAAACTCATATGCTTTAGTCTGTGTAGGCTGTAGTGGGGTAGACAATATGGGGTACAACACTTCTATATTTCCTACTTCTACCCACCTAATTGCTAGTTCATTCATCCTCTCATTCTAATCTTCACATGGTATAGAGCAGGCTCCCTCGAGGGAACTGTTCCTAGGGCCCACCGAGCTTTTTTTTCCTGCCCGAACGCGCTTGGCCCCTGCCCGTGTCTGTGCACCCAGGTCTATGCACGTGTGTCTCTTCTGTAGCTCGGACTTCACGTGGGCGAGTCTAGCAGTGTCAGCAGTGGCAAAGACCAAGTCGTCGACGTACACGAGGATGTAGAACGGCGGCAAAGAGGTGTCAGTGCGCAGAAACAACGACGGGTCGACTGTAGAAGGAGCAAACCTAAGAGCCGCAAGTGTAGTCCTCAGTATGTCGTGCCATTCACTGGGTGCCTCGCGAAGACCGTAGACTGGCCGCCGGAGGCTCCGCTGGGTACTAGGGGCAAACGACCCTGTGAAGCCAGGTGGGCGGCGCAGCCAGATCTCCTCGTACAGGCTGCC